CGAGCGAGTGATAATACTTGACAGCGGTAACCGACGAGTTAAAATATACAATAAACAGGATAAAAGCAAAATATTGGAATTCGGTTCTTTAGGACAAAGGAAAGGACAATTCAGACAACCCGAAGTCCTAGCTGTTGACCCTTTAGGTTTCATTCTGGTTGGAGATTCTGGTAATTGTAGAGTACAAGTATTCAAACCCAACGGTCAATTGGTCCGGGTTTTCGGCAGATTGGGAACCGAAGCTGGTAAATTTGGATGGATATCAGGTATCCATGTTACTAAACAACTGGATATAATCGTCAGTGATACTAAAAATCATAGCGTAAATTTCTTTTAAATAAAACGACAATGTAACGTTATTTTTATTAAATAAAATGTTATTCGAAAACAAAACACATCACTGGTTTTATTGAGTGCAAATGTTGATGAAAATATATATTTTTTTAATTTCACATATATCACAAAAACATACTTAACGTAATATTTAATAATGTTTGCATAATTAAAAGTGATATTACACAATGTGTTTTAAAATAATGATGGTTGTTAAATGTAAAAAAATGGATTATCGAATAGAATGGAAATTAGAAATTATGTCACTGGCTAACAATTTCATTGTCTATGATTTTTTACGACAAGAAATTAATAAAGACATCTTTTTAATGTCTATAATTGTGAATTTTAAATAATTATGTAGACAGGTTTGTTATAACTTCTCATTTCCACTAAATTCTATAATCTTTAATTTATTTTAATTTTATAGCAAAATTAAACACTTTATTCTCTTGCTTAGTCTATGGAATTTAATTGAGGTTATAAAAATCTAAAAGCTTTTGTATAAAATATTTAGTTATTTTAATTCATAAGATTCATAACAGACCCGTTTTAGCTATTTTTTTTAGTAAAGCTGTTCCTAAAACTTATATCTATGTGATGGAGTATTATATAGGCCTAAAGCTATAGAAATAAAAAAAGTTACATTGATACAAAGAACGACTTAGATTTCATAAACGAAAACATAGATTATACCATGTTTTAAAATACGAAATATTTTAACATTGAAGAAAACTGAGTTATCTCTAAAAAAAGGCATGTATTATATAAAAAAATAAAATATATTTAATGCCAGTTATATTATCCAATAAAGTGCTACTACCAAATATACAGAAAATCATGTATAATACAAAAAAACTAATTTAAACTACAAATGTGATGTAATTGACTATATCCATAACATGCATTGAAGCAAGAAAAATATTTCGTTTTTATTTTAATAAAACTATACCGGCCATTTCAATCTACAGTAAAAATGCCAATAATGTAAATGATTAAAAAAATCATATAACGCGAAAAACTCATAAAAGTATGTTAATGGATACAATTATGACTAAATGAGAAAAAAAAATCTTTCTGATAAGTTATCTTATATCTCTGAATTTCTGAATGTAATTAAAACATAATTATCTCGAATTAAATAAGACGAGAAATTAAAATTACAACCATCTACATTTGTGGCTCTGCTATTTATAATTGTGTGACTTGACAAAAAAAAATCTGAATCAAATTCATTGAAATTTTTCTTACTATTTGAAGTTTTGTTATTTTATTATATGGCTTAAATCAGTCTCGAATGGATAGTTTTAACAAAATATTTACAATTATTTACAAAAATGAAATTTAAACAAAAATTGTGATGAACAAAAAAAATTGAAATAAGCCAAAAAATAATATAACTATTTTTACAATACTTTTTAATTTAAAATTTCTTTAATATTTATAACTTGTAATACTTTCAAATTATTTTCTAAATTGCTTTTTTAAAAGGCAACAAGGATGTCCAAAGTTATTTTTATAACATTGAGTAACCAAATATACATATAATCTAATCTACTGTTAAACATTATTCTCAAAATTACAGAATTATTTCACTACTGTTATGTTTACCAGAAAAAGCGATTTGATTTTTTTACTGTCTATTTTTTGTAGTCGCGGAAATCCTTGGTGTTCCACTTAAAACTTCGACTCTTATAAATAAACAATCTGGTAGGAGTGACATAAAAAAAACAATGAGATAATAATAAAAAGCAATTAGCCTTGTACCACTGACAGACCTTTTTGACACAAACACTATCCGCGTCATATTTGTTAATGACCCGTGTCGTCGTGTCAATGAATACAAAATCTTCAATCATATAGTTTTAGGGTGGGACACCACTAGATTCCGCAACTGTACCTCAAACATTTGTCAAGATAAATGCTTAGTTTAACCCCTTGCTGACTTTTTACATTTATTTTTTATAATGGCAAGACAACTTAATATCAAAGCTTCGTAGCATTTTTCTAAATACATTCATTTTTAATTTAAAAAAAAATCACATCTGACAATGAGATTCAAAATAAAGTGCGGAGATAATTTAAAGACCCAAAGGTGATAAACATTCTGAAAGTTCCATAACATTCACTATTTTGTATATTTGACTACTTCTATTATTTCCACTCAAAAACACTTCTAAATATTTTCATACTCATCAAACATTTAATAATGTGCAAAAAATGAAATTGATATCACTGTGTATTTGTGTCATTCAACAAGAATGTCACTTCTAACTTTACTATGTTCACCTAACTAAATAAAAAACTAAATGATAAAGCTTGACTTGTGACCGTTGTTACTATACATAGCCGAGGAAAAATCACTTATTTGTGTTGATTTTATCAATAATAAATACCAAGTACTATGATGAACGACAAGGTTGACACCTGCTGATAGAATGGCTTTCACCGAGAACTACCGAGTCTTGATCTGGATGTGGACCTTCACTCTTATCATGTTGTCTCTGAAAAAAAAAGTTGTCTATGGGTTAAAAATTCAATAAAATCGACTACAGCAACATGTTTTACAAGTTTTATGTTGATTTGTAAAAATTTTAGTATTACCGGAGTGTTTTAACACTTGACTTGTACACTACAGGTCTTGAATTCAAATCCCCATATCAGATCTTTCCATATGCTACATACGTACATAATTTACCCAACATTCTTAGTCTAGGAAAATATTGTGATGTAACCCGCACATATTAGCGAAGAAATTTAAAGATATATGTGAAGTCATCCCACTGTGTTCCAGTGTGGACTATTGCCTAGTCTCCCCTAACTTAGGTTAGGCTTCAAGACCCATACTGACATATACTGAGCTGGTGATGTTGATGATAGTAACGCTAAATATGTTCAGTAGTATCTTTACTTACTTTTCTAGGTTTTGAATAGTATTCATGTAATAAGTGTTAAAGTAAAAATAATAAAATATTGGGTAAAACATAGATAATGCATGTTATGAATAATAATAAAGATAAAGTATCAGTTATTAACATTAACAACTAAAATTTATTATTATGAGTCATGACACTGACGCATGTGACTGCCAGATTGGGAACAAATGTAAAGGGTAATATTACATTAATTAAAGCAAACAAAATTCAACATAATATTTCAGGTCATAATGAGTACATACACTTATAATTTACTAAATGGATTTTGATAAAAATTGTCACATTCTGAGGATGTAATTAAAAAATTGGTACTTTAATAGATGGATGGATATTTGTTAGAAGGTTTATCTGCAACAATTCAACAGGCCGCAAATTTGGCACAGATGTAGGTTACTTCTATTTTTTCATAATTCCACATGAAGTTGCAAGCTAAAACTAATTTCATGATACTTAAAAAAATACCTTTAACTCCGTAGCCAAGCTACGAAATGTATCTTCAACATTAGTATTGTCTTTAGCAGAGGTTTCCATTACAAACATAATCTCCGGTACATAGCGACAGAAGGATTTAGGTTCATCTGCTTCCACTTCACGCTGGTCTGTTAAATCACATTTATTGCCAATCAGGGAGACAATAACATTAGATGAGGTATACCTTCTCACTTCTTCAATCCATTTTTGTAATGACAAAAAAGTGGACCTCTTTGTTATGTCATACACTGAAAAAATAATGTATTATGTTAAAAATTTTTATGTAACAATCTGAAGATGTAGAACATTTAATTATAAAACCAAATATTTTACTTGTATGAATCAATTTTAAAATGTGAACATTTTATTTTTAGTCTATTTAGCTAGGAATTTAAACGATAATTGCTTTTGATAACTGCGTAATGACCACAGTAGAGCGTATGTATATGCTAACATAAGAGTGTACCTTAAGAGTGCCCCAGTAAATGTACATATTAGAGAAATATTCAACTTAAAATACCTATAATTACTCCGTTTGCTGAGCGATAGTAACTTTGCGTAATTGTCCGGAAACGCTCTTGTCCCGCCGTATCCCATATTTGAAGCTGTTAACAAATTTTACATTTAATTGTAATACTCCGGATATTCTAAGCAATATAAACGACTAGTCCACACAAACCTTGACCCTCTTTCCGTCGACAATTAAAGTTTTCATAGAAAAGTCTACGCCTATTGTATTTCCGTGCCTTTCAATAAAATTTCCGGATTTCAATCGTTGCACAATACATGTTTTTCCTGTACCACAATCACCGATGAGCACAATTTTGAATAAGTAATCAAATTGTTCGTCTGGAACACTCATTAATGTATTTGGATTTCGGTTACTCATGACTGTAATTTGATTATTTTTTCAAATAGTTCTGTTTACGTTGTTAGCCTGACAACCATTTTTGATTTTTGACACAATATTTTCTTCAGTGAAAACGCTTATAACCCGAGAAAGCTTACAGCCATCAAAATTTTTTTTATTTTAATATTATATATTAATAACATTTAGTGAATATCCCAAATAACTGATTCCAAGCTTTTAAAATAGGATAATTATAGCTACTATGGAATACTTCATTTTTAATTTTAATTGAACGAAACCAACATCGAAACACCAGAGATAATAGAAGAAAAAGTAATATTGTCTATCACTTTCAGTTTGACAAAGACAGATGACAGTTCGTCAATTGACAGTTGATTATTGTTAATAAAAATTGTTATCTTTTTAATTCAAAACTGTTTAAGTTTTCCTTTAAATCAATAACAACAAATATACTGCAACATTTCAAAGTATTAACAATGAATATATTATCTTTTCTTCTTTCCTTCAAATTGTTGATATATTTTAGTTATGCAGTTGAGGTAATACAAAAGTTAAATGAATTCTCTTCTTAGAATCTCTAGTGTTAAATGATAATGATTTATTTCAGATACCCGAAGGATTTCAAAAATCAAATCATACCAATAACTGGGCAGTACTGGTGGATACATCTCGTTTTTGGTTTAATTACCGGCATGTAGCGAATGTTTTATCTATTTATCGCAGCGTGAAACGTCTCGGAATACCGGACAGTCAGATTATTTTAATGATATCTGATGATATGGCTTGTAATCCTCGCAATCCGCGTCCAGCGACAATCTTCAACAATGCTCATGGCCAGATCAGTGTGTACGGAGATGATGTGGAGGTCGACTATCGAGGTTATGAAGTAAGTATATATTTACTACCGAAAGATTTAGTTCCAAATTTAAATTGTAACCAGTGATTTCCAGAAATGATACATTGTATTTGTAATACAGATACAAGATGCAAATAAGTATTTTAAATTCAATTACTTTGTCTAAGGTATTTTGTACATCTTAGTACTCACTTAACCTTTTAGTTCTATTTGATTCTGCACCACTCTGAGTTGTAAATTTTACTTTAGTGTAAAGTTAATATAGGAAAACGATGATAAGCTCCCTTAGTGACGAATTAACTATTTTGAATCTATTTACACTTCTCACATGTCTATGTCATGTTTTTACGCTATTTTGCTTCAGGTTACTGTGGAAAATTTTATTAGATTGCTTACGGGTAGAGTTCAGCATGACACACCTCGATCAAAGAGGTTACTCACTGATGAAGGCAGTAATATACTTATTTATTTAACTGGGCATGGAGGTGATGGATTCCTAAAATTCCAAGACTCTGAAGAAGTCACCAGTCAAGAGCTGGCTGATGCATTAGAACAAATGTATCAGAAGAAAAGGTGAGTTTTGTGCTAAGTAATATGTTTTAATCATTTTATATGACTGTCAACTCTGTCCGTGTATAATTAAAAAAATGGTTAGCCTATTAGTTCTTCCAGATTATCCTCTACAACTGTACCAAATTTCATTGACATTCATCCATTTAGACTACAAACATCCATCCATCTAAACTTTTGTATTTATAATGTTAGTATGATGATTCATTTTAGTTGTTTAGCTTTATAATGTGCTTTTAAAATTAAAGTTAGCTATACTTTGTCTAAATAAGGATGATTAGTTTGACAATTTAGTAGGTATAAATTGTGTAAAATCTGGTGTCAATCTTTCCATTGCATTTTTTCTGATAAGAAAATACTTATCTGCAAGAGAAACTAAGTCTTTTAATCCGATAGAAGAAAACTGGATATTGGACATGTTAATTACAATCAAGTAATAGAGTTATGTTTAATTTTACAGATATAATGAAATATTCTTCATAATAGATACATGTCAGGCATCGTCAATGTATGAAAAGTTTTATTCACCTAATATTCTGGCTACAGCTAGCAGTTTAGTGGGAGAAGATTCTTTATCTGTAAGTATACAAAAAATGCTGGTGACGGAACTATAGTCCTATTTCCTGTTTACCCTTTTTATGATAAGAAAAGGATGGAAATTATATGTGGATTTGACACTGGAGGAGAAGCATGGGAAGGGAAAATATCCGCTTTATGTGCATTTCCTCCTCTGTCAAATTAGGGTAGGCAATGCATCCGCTATTGCAAATGTTTATGGGCAGCGGTTACTTCGCCAGCTTGGCGGATTCATTTGGCCACTAGCTCTTTTGCCACCTTATGATAAAAGAAAAAAAATTATTATTTACCACAAAAAAATGTAATTTTTTAAATATTTATTATGTATTTCCGCAGCATCATGTGGACTATTTAATTGGCGTGTACATAATAGACAGATATACATATTTTGTACTGGAGTTTCTGGAAAATGTACATCCCAATAGTAAGAATACTATGTCGGAATTTGTAAGTATGAATTGTCTTTTTTTATTATCTAACTATCAAAGAGATTTTTGCTCATATGTTCCATTTCTTGTAAAATGTCTTGTTTTATAGTGTATTTTAAAAAAAATTACAGTTTATTTGATTATATTGATTTTTTAAATCTTTGAAATTACAGCCATTTTTTTTATTTTATAAACCAAAAAAAAAAAATTAAAAAACGTTTTGTAAAATTTTACAGTTAGCAGTTTGTCCGCGAAGTGCTTGCCTGTCGACGGTTGGGGTCAGAAAAGATCTATTTAACCGAGACCCAAGCAAAGTGCCGATAACAGATTTCTTTGGGTCAGTGAGACCTGTTGTTATCACAAGAAATCCAATAGAAATATTGGAAATACCAAAAAGAAAGAAACAAGTCACAATAGAGTAAGTAATTTTTTTGTTTAAGAGTTTTTTTTTAGCTTTCGTAATACCTTGAAATAGTTTTAAGTTTCATATTTTGTCATTTTTTAGAAGATAAAATAACAGTTTTTTATTTTTTTTCATCCTTTACTAATTTTTTTTTGTTTTTTTCAGAAACAAAACCAAAGTAGTGGAGAAAATGAGCTACCTACCTCAGTTTCCAGTTCATTTAGTTCAAACCACATAATGTTTAAAGTATAAATAAATTACAATTTATTAACATTTTGTTTTATTTTTTACCTTTACACAGTTTCAGAAAAAAATATAAAAAAGTTGCAACATTTTTTTTTTAATCTACTTTCAAAAATATTTGAAGATGGAAAAAAGGTGTGTATAAAGTAATAATAAGACACAAATCCACAGTATTAAACTTTTTATTTCTCTATAAGTACTAAGAATAAAATTTTCTTTAACATTACAAACACAACCGATCATTACAGTTGTTTGCAACACAATAATACCTGGTACACACTTGGCCAGTACAGTAGCGTAAGTGAAGCGTTGAGTGTATGACCCACTACGCCAGTTGGTTCTAATTGATTGCCAGTCCAGTGATTGATCGCTACTGGCCTAGTGTGAACCAGGCATAGATCGCAACAAGACAAGTCGCTGCGTTCATGTCCCACGTTCTGATATGAGATCACATTCTACTGCACTATAGCACCATCTCAGTTACTGTCATAGGCCATTAATTTTTGGTCTAGTATTCGATTCATAATAACTATTTAACATGGCCGTCGCTTCTAGGGTGGGGCTTAGCTACCATTATGGTCTTATTTCGTTTTTATTTCATTAAAAAAATTGATTGTCTATTCTCGAGCGATGGCCACGCCCATGCCGTATGTTTGTATTCTAAATATTCGATTTATTAGCGATTACAATTGGAATAAACCTAGATCTGCCACTTTTTTAATTCACATATAAATTGAAATAAAATGACTGTTATCGAATACAGTGCCATCAAAACTTTATGGCGGCTTTAAATATCGCACGAGACTGCACAGAACTATATTTGGTATGAATGTAAAGGGTTGCAGTTACAACATCACGAGTCGCCATAAAGTTTTAACATCATTATACTTTCATCCGTACAACGTTGCCTTTATACAAATGGTTTGATCGCAATACTTTTATAGAGGTGACTAAATCTACAAAACGTATTTAAATTAGAAAAAAACGCGATTTAAAACTACGACTAGTTCATAGAACAGTACTAACTTTTGTCTTTTTTAACAACTAACCAACTATAAATTAAAAACATTTAATATTAATAACATATAACGCGTATTAAAGATTTCCACCAGTTATTTTAAACTTCTCTCATACATACATCTAACGCATAATAAAGTTCATTCGTTCGATAAGATGATCAATTTTTAATTTTTGGTAAAACTTTGCAACACTGTAACTATAAATATCTTGCAACACCAAAGAAAACGCCATATTGGCGTCTAGGTAACTATATTACTCTAAAAAATAACTTTCTAGACGCATATAATTTGCATTTTACAACACGCAACTATTTACTGTATACCAATTCGTTACAATTTTGTGCGACATTTTGCCTTAAACATTCATTTACTCGTAGAAATATATATTATATATTTTGTTTTTACCTATTTTTATTTTGTACTTATGATTAATTGTATCATGCATTTGAGAAGCCTCATACGTAATATTTTTATACAATCACTGTAATACTACTTTTAATACAGATGATAAATCTATTTTTTCTTAATATTGCGATTTTGTCGTCCATTTCGCGATCTGATGATTCAGTTTCAAGTATTTCTATGTGAAATATTTTGTAGATGCTCTGTAAAATCTTTGTACATTTATATACTTACGGAAGCACTTTCAATGTTTTTTTAAAAAAAGCATTTTTGTAGTCTATTTATTAATCTTAGTGCCGTGTTTGAAGTCGATTATTTTGAAGAACTAGTAAAAAGTATGAATTAAAAGGTAACAAACTGGATTATCGTTTAGATATTACAAACATCGTATCTTAGATTTATTAGATCTATAAAATATGCATTCAATTATCACAAAAAACAACGCATAAAACTATTAAATTTTGTCTATTTAAATATTGCTCTATTTCGTTAAATAACAAATCATTAACTTCGTAAAATTACACTTATAAAATTCAAGACAATAATTAATATAATGTAATCAAACGTATTAACATTTCTTATGTCACACGTTTCAAAAACCAGCTAATAAATTCCACACACAATACCTAAATGCAAAAGACACGAGTAAGACAGCAGACGAGCAAATTTTTACTTAAAAAAGTATAGCAAAGCAACTCACGCAGACATTAACACTTTCAGTACCATGCCTTGGTTGGCAAGGCGTCACATATGGCATGGAATGTGTTAACCGTATCACAAAATTAGACATTACGAAATATACTAAATTGACGTATGAGTATCCAAGCTTCGCGACACATCAATATCCTTCGCCGTATCAATCTTTTTCTATCGATCAGTCTTTACTTCTTTGCGTCGCGGCCGATATTTTAATGTTCAATGAAATGTTCAACGTATAATGCGGGTCATCTTCATCCGTGACTGCTGTTGTCGTCAGGTCGAACGATCTCGTAGTACTTGTCTATGGTGTAGTTGAAAAGCTGGAAGTCATATCTGAAAAGAGATGTAAGATGTCTATTGAAGATGGACAAAATAGGCCATAGGTCCCTGTCCATATAATTCTAGTTCGAGTTTTATGCCCTTGGTGGACAATTGGAGTGTTAATCGAATATTTATATCAACTGCTCAAAAGGTGTCTATGTCATGTTTGTATGTATGTTCTATTCTAAATGAGGGCTTGTCAAAGACAAAAGTTAAGGAAATTTCATTTGCCGTCCGGTGCCAATAAGAGCGTGCGCACACTTGAAACTAAATTATCGCACAACTGCTTAGTCTCGCTTTGAATCCTATGAGATTATATGGTGCACACGTTACTCAATTTTTAGCTGCGCAACTAAAAAGTTGAATGGGCTGCGAAACAATCGACAATCACACAACAATTCTGCGATAGTTTAGTGAAAAGTACGAGCCTGGTCTAAAAGTGATCTAAATACCGTCAGTGTCAGTCGAAATTATTAGGATATGAAAGAAAATAAGCTTTACTTGTAAAGGTTATAAAGTGCATCGAGCTGCGACTTCTTCAGCCTGGAGTAAAGATGGTTGATGATGTGCAGCGTTTGCGAGCCCTTGCCGCTGTTACGCCACTCCGGCTTCACCACCTCGTGCAGCCGCGCCATCTGTATCAGGAACCGTTGGTCTTCCTGTAAAAATATTACATACAATGATAGTTAAAGTAACTGTTAATTTCGCAGTCGAAGTGTAAGCATCGGTGGTTCAGTGGTAGAATGCTCGCCTGCCACGCGGGCGGCCCGGGTTCGATTCCCGGCCGATGCAAGACTTTTTTTAAATTTTACAGTAATTAATAAATGATGGCATTGTAAGTACAACATAAAAATATTTCACAAAAACTTTTGATATGTCTATAATAATATTGAAATACGTGAAGTTACAAATGTTGTTTTTTTCACTATTTCAAACAATACCGTGTTGAAGTGATACAAGCGAGTCGTATCGATCACATCGCGTGACATAAAAAATTAGTTCAATGCAGTGAGGTAACAATTACGATACTTTCTAACAATAAACTATGTAGAAAAATTGGAACGAATAATAAATGATTTACACAAAGCAATGTTGTCCAGTCTTTATCGTTAAGAATACATTATAATCTTAAGCAAATAAGAGGCCGTGATCCTAATTGTAATGAATTTATTAGGTTTAAGTCACATTTTCTTTTCTTTTCTAAGCAGTTATGTTTAAGGGCGGGCGCACACCTTTGCTTGAACTATCGCGCAACTGTTGTGCGATTGTCGATTGTTTCGCAACCAATTCACCTCTTTAGCTGCACAACTAAAAATACCTCCATATTAGCTCATAGGAATCAAAGTGAAACTAAACAGTTGTGCTATAGTTTAGTAAAGGTGTGCGCGCTCTCTTAATAAAAGCCATCAAAGAATTACTTGAGGATATCTTCATAGTGAAGTTGCTATTAATTATCTTCCTAATCCTACTAACATTAATGTTATAAATGAGAATGTATGGATGGGTGGATGTTTGCTAGAGTTTGTAGCCTAAATGGCTGAATGGATCTCGATAAAATTTGGCATAGATGTAGAACATAGTCTGGATGAAAACATAGGCTACTTACATTTGTTTTGTTTTTAATTCTACGCGGACGGAGTCGCGGGCGAAAGCTAGTACTTAATAATACGTACATCGAGAGTTTCAAACTTGAGTATGACGTCGAAGTTGAACTTGCAGGGTGTGCAGAATGCAGTGTAAGGGGTCCAGTGCATGTCTAACGGCCGTTTGGCGCGCGCTTCGTCCACAACGTACGACACGAACTCCTCGAACATCGGGTACCGCTCTTTAGGCGGCGGCGGATTCTCCCCAGATAGCTATAATACAATAAGTATTTATTAAAATATGTCTAAATCACCTAGTTTAGATAAGAAAATAGTAAGTAGGTTAACCGTTAAAGTTGACAAAATATTTGTTAACTATACTAATGTTATGAAGAGGACATATTTGTATTTTTGAATTGTTGCATGTACTCGAATAACGTAAAAACTACTAGGACGATTTCAAAAATTCTTTTACAATTAGAAAGGTAATTTGTCTGTGAGTAACACAGGCTATATTTTTAAATTTCACGCGGGCGAAATATTACAATAAAACTTATTATTAAATAAAACATAGTTATTAGTCAGTTTAAAATGATTAATGGATGTTTTGGCACGTGTTTGTGTATATCTCGAGTGGGTATGTCACGTGAAACATGATTCTTACATTAGAGAAAGGCTGGGTGTTGGGAGGTCGCAAGGCAGACGTAACGCCCTCTTGCGACATCGACATTATTTTATTGCTCGCACACATGAATGGTGGAAAGCATACATTAAGCTAATATACCGAAAAATAAGTTTATAAATGAAATTCAATCTAATGGGCATAGTAAAGTAGACATACTAGTAGAAGTGAAAGTCAATTTTTATACATGGTGACCATATCCTATCATTTTGTCGTTTATTTTGAGAAAAGATTAAGATATGCTGGGATTGAAGCGTTTTTTGGAGCCGCGATCTTGATGACACTTTAAGAAAAAGACGTAAAGTGAGGTTATTATTAAATAAACATATTTTAAATGATGAATACGAGAAAAACTGCTTCAGACTAAATATTTTAGTTACCTTTAGCTATAAATCTGTTTTTTTTTTAATTCAATTTTGGAATGTAACATAGAACGTTGTATAATCTCACCTTTCTATATTTTCTTACGATCCTATGGCCCATTTTATCGTGGAACGACTTAGGCCACGCATGAACAATTTTATCATTGTAAGCGGAAGCCAGCCTTTCTAAAGGATGTCGCACTATGAGGAAAGTGATAGAATCCGACTGCGCTTTCTTTAGCATTTCCACCGATGGTCTTACGTATTTCTTCCTCGCTAGTTCTAATGGTACTTCTTTAGTCTTATCCAAGAATGCCGCTGAATAATTCGCCATAAGGTTGAAATTGTACATCCAGGATGTAGAGGCCGCCTTAAATATGTTGCACCTGTGAACAGATGTTCAATATTAATCAAAGTACAAAAACTATTTATTATCAAGGCTTTTAGTTCATAGATTTACTATCACACTACTGCCAAATTATTAGTCACCGTTAATCTGTCGTGTTCTATGCTTATCTAATTCAATTATCTGTAAAGAGGTGACCCTATCGTAACATTAAAGCTAACGGTTTTATAAATTCCCTTATTACTCTTATCTCCCTAAGCTTTCCAACTTCGCCAGCCACAGTCTTGGTCAACAATTTTATCAGTAGATGATGGAATATTTTGGTTCGATAAACATGTAACTTTGAATTTTCTGAACTTATAAAAAAACCCGACATTCCATAGCTATGTAGCTATATACCCTAAGATTAATTTGTTCATATCTGTTAACATATGTCTTGTTATATAGAAAACTTTTAAAAACAACAGACCATTATGACACACAATATTGAACTAATCTTACGCAAAGCCGGGCACCAAACTAGTATGTTAATGTTATTTATTTGTACTAAAATTAAGTCAAAGGCCATGGCATTATGCAATATGTGTCGAACTACTAAACATGTTTGTATGTTGAATTGTTAAGTATTAAAATTTAAATAACTTGTTAGAGTTAAAGTTGCATATTAACCTTGTTTTCTTAACATTTACTTCACTAAGTTATAAGCAAAAACGTAATGAGACTCGTTATTATAATGTTTCATAATTATATGAAAACAAAGAACGTTTCTAGTGTTTTTAAAAACATTTTGAAGATAAACTACTAACGTTGACACTCATCATCATCCACTTGCCCTTATCCCTTACGGGGTCGGCACAGTATGTGCTGCTCTTCCATACATCTCAATCAGCCGTCATATCTCAATCCACTCCTCCTAACGTTGACACTAATTATTACAAACATTACAATTTATTAACATTTATGACTACCCATATATGGCTCTTCCTTTAATGTTTAAAAATATCTAAACACATTAATACAACCGTTTTATTAGACATCATTAAATAACGTAGCAATTCAAACATCAAAAAAATTGAACTTCACAAACATAAAGCTGAACTATTGTGAGCTGTAAATATTTACAAATTTGTTCTCTGATCCATCAATTGACGGCGACAAGACAATCCAACTGTGTTTACTCATACTTATAAATACGAGTAGATTAACAATTCGTAACAAACGTAAATAATGTTGCATAGTCTGGGTACATGATTCATTGTTAAATTTAAGTTTTTTCGACAAACAGGATGAAAAAAAGGTAAATATAAATGTCGGGCACAAAAAAAGATGGATGGATGTATAGATGATTGTTAGACATCTGGACAAAATTGAAACAGATGATAAAAGTCTGGAATATAGGCTTATAATTTAATTTCACGCAGAAGTCGCGGACGATAGCGAGTATCTTACCATATGACGTGGTATTGTCTGTTTATAAGGTATTCCCATGAGTAGGCTTTATAGCTGGAGCTATCCAGACCCAGCTTGGAGCACTGCGCCCTGAGTGCGTCGCGGCGGGCCTCCATCCTTGCGCCCACTTCTAGAAACTTCTCTCTCGATAGCAGCTCATCGTGCGTACCGTTCTCGAATACAAACTGCAACAAGAAAGCAAAAGAAAGTCGTTAATTTTATTACAAATCACCACAAAAGAGAAGTCAATTGAGCAACTAGTTTTATTTTAAACCTTTCCCCATATTTGTTGGATTATCATACTTCTTTGAATAAATACATACGAATTAAATTCCGTCAAATGTTGTTATTTTAAGTATCGTTTTGAACTCATGAAAATACAGATTTTCTAATTCTTTTACGAGATGCTCTTAGTCGATTGATGCCAAAACCAGATTACAAGTAGGTATTTACAATTTACAAAGGAAGGAATTATTTCAACAGTAACAAAAAAGAGTGTACTTAATTTTAAGATGCACACTTGTGAGTGCCAGTCATTTCAACAAATTAAGTAACCACTAATTATAAAATTGCACATGAATCTTCCATTAACACTTGTTAATTAAGTTAATTGCAAATTGTCGATGAGTAATACTACCGAGAGACCAGAGAAAGTAAACGAAATGTCGAACATTCGCACGTGCCAAGCACTTGAACATATGCGTAGAAAGTCGTATTCCAACTGTGAATTTGCATTTCAATCTAAGGAAACAACATTAATATGTTAATAGATAAACTTGGCATATTTAAAACAATAACACAGATGACACGTCTTACTCAGACAAGTAAAAATAGTAAGGGCCTGTCCCACCAAATTGTAAATTATTTGATAACAATCCAATCGGATCTTGGTACTCTATCTGGCAGTGACGTCACTTTTAAGCTATCTGAGCCTCTATCAACCAGTAGTGGGACAGGGCCTAAGTATTATAGATAGGTGAAATGTACGGCTGAGATTTTGCGCGGGATATACCAATGTGACTGTATCTCAACAATAGTTTCTCTTTACATACCTTTCTTTTTCATTACATAGTTATTTCATTGAGGATAAGGAGCAAATGTTTAACATTAGAGAAATCATTCTCTTGTTTTGCATGTTTTTGTCACATAAGTGCATGGAATAAATAACCATGCAATGTTGTATGAAATAGTCGCATGTCAACGATCAATATCGTAAAGCGAAGCACGTAAGGTAATTCCATCAAATGCAGTCGCAACAAAGGCGTTGCTTCACGCTCCCTTTGCCGTATGGAAGTACACGTTTTTTGTAGTGTAAACACACAACTATTTTAAATGTTTTCTACTACATTCAATGATATAAACGAGGAGGTTTGATTGTTAAAATTGTGTGTGATAACGAAAATAATTAACCGTGGACTACTAACAAATAAACACAAAATGTTTTAAAAACATATTGGGAAAGTAACCAAATATCTTAGGTTGTAACTCTGTAGCCACTATAAATATATAATGTGAAGATTTCATTAAATATTTCTTGTTTATATCCATACTCTATACTTACTTCTTACTGTTATAAAGAGAAAATATTTGTATTTTTGTATGTATTCGATTCACGTAAAAACTATTGAACCGAATATAAAAATTCTTTCACCATTAGAAAGGTAATTTATCTGTAAGTAACTTAGGCTTAGCTAGACGAAGTCGAGACATCTAATAAAATATAAACTGAACATAACTAAATACTTTCCAAAGGTATAGCGTGACTTACATTTGATATAGTTCCTGTCTACATTATCGATCGCCGCGGGAATCGCCTGAACCGTCTCAATTAACTCGAAGCGAGTGAATCGATTTACTTTTAATAGCTTTTTAATGACCACCCACAAAGTTACTGTTTTCAAACATTAATGAGCATTGATCTTTACGTCCGACGACTTACGTTATATCATTTCAAGATCAATCAAATATTTACAGTTATTTGGCAAGGTTTACTTTTCAAGTTTCAATGCCAGCGATTACAATGTACTAACAAAAATCGTTTTGTAGTTATATGTGAACATCATATATCAATAGCCTATATTTCTGGCAAGTTCTAAATACGCACGAAGGTCCCACATCAATCATAACCCTGACATGACTCGCAGCTAAATATAATGCTATCCAAACTTTACTGTAGCTCAGAATTTCACACAAGACAGTGAACAAAATACAATATTAGTGATAAGTATATCGTAAATGGATGCGGGGTCCCGACCATACTTATTCTTGTGTTTTCTACCGCGAGTAGATGGTCAGCTTGGCAATGATCTAGAGAGTCATACCGTCGGAGCTAACGACGAGCCGCCATAAATATTGAATCGTGTTATACTACTTGTATTAGCAGACATACAATACAGCCACGCCTTTCATGTCGACAATATCCTGCGTAAAGATCGAGGGTATAAACTATCAATGCTAACATCGTTAGGGTGCGATTCCACTGTCGAAACCCTCATATATTCTCACATTTTTTTTAAGTAATAGAGAAAAACGTTAATAGTTTAACTTCAAGTAGGAATACTACAGTTCAAACTGTGCGGTACTTGATCTATCTATATATATAATAAAATTGGAGTATCTGTTTGTAATATAAAAGAAAAGTTTCAAATTTCGGGAAGATGATATAATTGCGTTGCAGATAACGAAAATCGCATTAATTTTTTTTGCCTGTCTGTGCGCAAGCAGCGTTTGTTCCGGGTAATCTCCGTAAGGGTTGGAACAATTTCGTCCGGACTTTCACTAAAGGGCAGCTGACGTAGACGGGCACTTTTTATCTTAATATTGCGGGGGCGAAGTCGCGGGCAACAACTACTAATTCATAAAAGCTAAAGTGAAATCTTCATTAGACATCTTTTTGTGTTATGTATTGCACATAATACGTAAGAAATCGAGTACAAAAGTTTTCCCGGTTATACGACACTTGTAAAAAGGAAAGTGGCCGAGCAACTTTGCGATGCCGGTAACGAGAAGAGAGTTAGAATATTTAATGATATTCTTCAGATTTCCGTAAGCAAGATTATCGATTTACGACCTATACATGTGCATAACCATAAAATATTGCTTACGAAGAACTATCATAAGCTTTCCAAAAGATTGTTTCTTGTTACAAATTGCTTGATCGGTTAAAAGTCTAATAATTGCCGAATATTCAGACACATGTTAAACACTTCGTGCCCCTAACAATCTGACAGATGTCAAAAATGTTATGAAACTTGCAGTTTATGGAAGGGCTTATCAACTTTATTACCTACATATTCCCCCCCCCCTTGTTTCATAGACAATGGCAATCTGTATTACCTCTTACTAATATTATAAATGCCAAAGTTTGTTATTGTTTACAGTCTATATGTTTGAATGGCTTGCAATTAAATTTGGCACAGATGTAGAAAATCGTCTGAAAGAACACATAGGCTACTATAAGGTTTTTTTTAAATACCGTGTGGACATAGTCGCGCGCGAAAGCTAGTAACTCATACTTTTTTGTCTTTTATATACAATTGACTGTATCCTTAACATTCTAAGCATGAACAAATAATTGAATTCTGCAGTGCTGTGTAGGCTAGTTAATCTACAACAAGAGATCGGTTTGAGATGATCTTTGCTTAAGCAAAGCCGCCATGTCTGTGCAGACTTCGTGACCTGAATCTCTTAACACAATGGAACCATCGATGTCTATCGTACTTGAAACTTGACGTCTTATGCAGTGTTTGATGAATGTGTCTTTATTTTTTTTACAATGACTAGGTCATTTTATTTTACCAGGCCATAAACAAGCAGTCAGACCCGGTTTCGCACATTTTTGCATAACCTTACGGGTTAGAAATGAAACTTTCTGACTACTTTCGCCTAGAGCTTACGGTGACGCTTATTCACTGATAAAGAATTAAATTCACTTCCCGCTTTAAATAAATTTTGTAGATAAGGACTATAATTTATCCTCTATGTATGTTGCTCTAACATTATCGACCTAATTGCATTGTCAAACGACAGATTATTGAAATGGTTAGGAAATAAGAATCCTCGATTATACACACGTATTTAAGAGATTTATACTTAAAAATGTCAATTTCACGAATCCTGTTAGTATATTAAAGTTTATGTATACGTGGGAACCGGTCGCACACCGTTAACCGCATTTTATAGCTGCGTTTCGAACACATTTATACGGTTGCCGTTTTGGTGCCTTTTCCAGACAATCGAGATTTTAATAAAAATGAATTGTTGCAAATCAAAATGTTAGTGTTTTCACTTTTTATGCCACATTTGTTCATTTTAAACTAATTGCTTTTTTCTTGGGTTTTGTGTAATGGATTTTCTGGCTACAGATTAAACAGTCTTCGGATCTCTGAAGAGGTGTTTTGTCATCGTCTGCTAGTAATGAAATTTTAATTTCGAAAGCAGTTGCTACATTAAGGAATAAGGGTTGCCAACAAGTCACTTGTCTATTACCCTAGGCAGTCTACTTGGTAGTAGGTAGCCCTAAGTGTAAGACAACCTGAGGGACCTATCGCCTATGACGTAAGTACACAGGATGCGGGCCTCGCCAAACTTCCGAGGCGCACGCTACTTCCGCTCTATTGTCGGCACTCGGCAGAAGTCAATAACGCGAGTACACTGTTTCTGTTGGCTCAACGTAATTGAAACCACACCTTCTCCAATATATTCATCGGTACCGTTAACAAAAACATCAATACGTATATGAAAAAATACTTGATTTATTTAAATTATTGTCGGTTCCTTTTCGATAAGCGAAATAAAATAGTATGTTCCGTCTAGAAGAAACTAGTTAAAAAATGTAACAAAATAAGAATCATCATCATCATGTTCCTCCTTATCCTACTCTCGTAATATCGGTGCGACAGGTTTTTGTTCTCCACATAACTCTATCATACGTCATCTCAGTCATCTCTTTCTAGATTTATCTCTACCGGTGTACCTCCACACTCATAACTAATGCGATTCATCAAAAATAAGAATCAATACGTTCATAATGATACGCTTTCATTCCAAATGCTAACTGTAAACTTATGAGACGATTTGTTTCAACTACATTTTTTGTACTAATTACATTTTAAATTACATTAGTAAACATTCTGCAATAATAATAAGTTTCTTTACAGTCCTGTTACTATGCTAATAGATCCTG